TTGTGTTTGCTCGGCTGACCTTTACTTCTGTGTCCTCCTCCAGAGTCTTCTGAAGGCGTTGGAAACACTCCCATTTATTTCTTGGGACTTCAGACCGTGCTTTAGGGCTCTGATCCAGAACTCCTGTTTCAAGTTTGGAAACTCTAACTTGCATCTAACTTGTCCTCTTCTGCCTCAGGAAAGTTGTTTCAGCTCGTTGCCTCAGTTTCTCCCATTCCCTTGCTTCCCCTTAATAATCTAAGATCAAAAATATTATGCCTGCAGCACCTTTACTGTGGAAATCTTTAACTGAAGTCATCCAGATGGGTAAGCACGCTGAAAATAAAGATGAGGCAGTGGGCACCATAGTGACAGTGTGATGACAGTAGCTGTACAAAAACCCAGAGGCAGGTTTAAAAAGAGAGGATGTTAAGAATTTTACTGTTTTGGGGATGAAATTTATCTTCGTGCACTGGGTTTGAAAGTCCTGCTGTGCAAGTGCCAGCGGTCTTGTGCTATCCTTGGCATGTGGGCTTCCTTGAGCATGAAACTTCTGGACTGAATCTGCTTTCTTCAGCTGGAACTGAGAGGAGATACTTATTCCTCTCCGCTCAGTGATGCTGGCTCACATGCTTCTTCCAGCCTTTCTTTCTATTTTTCCCATTCTTTGTGCTCCCTTCCTGTTTCCCTCAGGTCCCCTCTTGCCTCTGTTGTTCTCAGATGCTGAAGGTTTGGGATATCTTTCCATTAATGTGACTGCGGACGTGGTTGTGTGCTTCCTCTCGGAAAGCCACTGCCCGCCTCACTGCACGGGATCGATGTCACCACTTAATGACTAGAAATTCAATACTTCATTTCATGCGACTTGCTTGGTAAGTGATCCGTTTCGCACCTTCTTGTCCACTCTTCAGATTTTACTTTGACTATGGACTTGCATCTACTTGTGTAACACATGGTACCTGCTTCCTAAACTCTTTCTTTTTTTGACATGGCTGTAAGATGAAGGTGAGAAGCCGATTCATGTGCCAGTGAGGGTCAGCTGTCTCTGCTAGGTTTAGTTGCCATTTCCAGATGTTTTTTTTCCTTTCTCCAGCACTGCCCTCTGGCTTGCAGGAATCCCCTGCTCATCTGCTGTGTGTGCTCCAACTTTTGCAGCAGGCAGGCCCTCAGAGTGTGGACGTGCTCAGCAAACACTGATGGCAAATATGGTCCTTCCCAAAATCAGCCAACAGTGTCCAGCAGTCAGGAGTGATGATAAGTCCATGCAGCAGCTTTAGCTTTCATCCTTTCTGTCTTCCTTTTGCAGCCCTAGTGGGAGAGGAATGGAATAAATCTGTTTTCCATGGTCTTCAGAGAGCAGAACTGGAGGAGGGAAAAAAAATCAATTGTGGGGCTGTATTTCCCTGTAAACACTGGGGCAAGACTGGAAGTGTGAGATTCACACTGCTGATATCTGCCACCGTGTTTGGTGGCAGCTGTGTTGCTGCAAATGGCAGCAGTTGCTGGTTGTAGCCCTCTGTGAGCCATCGATGCAGGAAGGTGACAGTAGTTCTCAACTACTTCTGGAAGCGGAGGGATGCTGAGTTGGGAGTAATGGGCCTGATTCACAGAAGTGTGGTGGCCATGGATACTTCCTACTCCCTTTTCTATGCAAGCTTTTTCCTTTTATGCAGAGTCTCTGCATCTAGTTCTTGCATGTCCACGTGTCCCTCACGATTGCAGCAAGTCCTTCACCCTTCCCTATCTAATTAGATATTCTTTCTCTTCCACCTGGGGCCAGCCTAAGAGATTTCCCTGTCTCCATTCCAAAATCAGACATTGTACGGCTTTTTTGCGAGAGTAGCAAGAACATTTCTTCTCAGCCACGTGGCTGTAAGGAAGAGCAGGTTCCTCTCAGGTGATACATGGTATTTGGTTTACCAGAGGGGAAAGTATATTCATTGCATATAAAAAGTCCAGAGGATTTTGTTGCTGACCTCTGAATCTCTTTTGAACCTGTGTGGGTAGCAATTTTCAAGTACTTACTTCTTGGCCACATATGAGATGATTTTCTTAAAGGAGGAAGGACATAAAATATTTCTATTCTAAAAAAATAAAGGAGCAGTTAGACTGTCAGTTAAATAGTTGGGATTCATTTTTATTTGAGTAGGTTTTTTTTCATCCTCTATTTTTTTCTTTGCAAATAGGTAACTGAGTATTTTTTAAAAACCTTCATGCCAAAACCAGGTATTTTTTGCAGTCTGGTCAGATTTGGGTGGCACGCATTAATTGAAAACAGGCTTAAGCCTGTTAAGAAAATGTTAGGATGTGTTACCTGCTTACTACTCTGACCTACAATACCTGTGGGGTGAACCTTCATCCTGTTGAACAAGGCAGAAGTCAGTTGAATAGTAGAGCTGATTGAAAACCGGTCCTGTATGAAATTTTGCAGAGAGTTCTCTTGATTGAAAACCTTGGTTGTCTATTTTTCTACATCTAACAAAGGAATTAAAATCATTCCAAAGTGAGTTCCGGTGTGATGGTGTTGAGTCATAGGCTGGACTTGATGATCTCAGAGGTCTTTTCCAGCCCAGACAATTCTGTGATTCTGTACTGGGATAAAATGGAGCATTCCCTTTTTGTATGATTGTACCTTGGTCAGACAGTCTGTTTATTTCACTTGTGAAGGACCCTAGGATAGGGGAGGCCCACCAGAAGGCAAGTCTGTATCTTAAAATAATCTAATAATGATGGAGATTCAATCTAGGGGGAAAAAAACCATGATTTGGTAGAAAGAAGAACTGCCTTTGGACATGGAAAATCAATCATGTGAATACACCCTAGGAAGTGACTGAGTCCTTTGCAGTTCAGCAGCATGAGTCTAAGGATTACAGTGAATCACAAGGTGAACATGAGTTAAGAGTGTGAGTTTTGTGAAGAAGCCAAAATCATATTCTGAGATACATGAGTAGAGGCATAGTCTGTGAGACACATCCTTCCACTGTACTCAGCAACAGTGAGAGCTCGATCTGAGTTAGATCTATAAAGGGCAATGAGAATAGTCAAAGTCTATCACACATAGCTTGCAAGGAGGGGCTGAAGATGTTGTTTTAATTGAAAGGGGAGATTGTTGCTACGTTTAATTTAGATATTGGGGGTGATGGGAAGTGCTTCAAGTGAAACCCATTCAGTTACCTGGAAAGATGGTAGAGGGTCTGAGTCTGGAAATCCATAAGATCAGGCAAATATCTTTCAGGAGTGACAGGTATATAGTTGATCCTGCCTGAAGTTCAGGGAAGTGGGCTAGATGATGCCATGTGCCCCTTTTAGGCTTTATAGCTCTGTGATGTCAAGGTGACTCCCCAAAGTGCAAGGCAAAGGGAATAATAAAAGAACTGAGCTTCCTCATCGTGTTTTTGTAGACCTGACTAATGCCCATGTGGTTGAGTGTTCATGAGGGTTTGCTCGTAGAGAGTTCCAAGCAGACCTGCATCTAGACACGAGTGGTTTGAGGGTACGTAAGGGCAAGTTTACTCTAGTCTGGAGGCTCCAACGGGACCTTGTCTGGAGCAGATAAGAGTATGGCACTTAGAGGAGGGGAGGTGGGACGAGATCAAAAAGCAGTTGGTGTGAGGGAAAAGGTCAGAATAGGTGCTAGGAAAACCCATTTTCAAGCATTGGAGAGGACCAATGTGTAAGTCATATTCAGAGGTGGGAATAATCTAGCAGTTCGTTCGTCCCTTAAACCTGGAGAGGGGAAGAGTGGTCTCAGCTGCAGCTGCTGTTTGTGGTCTGCTTTAAGCACCATTTCAGTTTATATATACCCTGCCTGGGAAAGCCCAAATCTTTCAGTCCTGGGGTTTCCAAAACATGTAGCAGCTGGCCAGCTCTAGCCACTCACCGCTATTGGAGGTGAAGGTCAGAGTTGTTCCTGAACCCTCTTCCCGTTGGAGAAGTGGTGGCAAAGACTCCTATGGGAAAAGCTGCTGAGGCAGCCACAGAGCATGCGGCTACTAGCGAGGCAGAGGAAAGCCTCTATGCTGTACAAATAGCTGCATTAGGAGCCCTAATATACTTAAGTGCTTATTTTTCCATCTGTGATCTCATGCAAACCAAGCTGCTGGGCAGTATGGCATAGCCGTTGGCCAAAAATAAGATGTAGCCCAGTCAAAATGTTTTTTTCTCTGAAGTTAACCTTTGATGAGTGGAAGGGACAGGTACGCTGTTTTCACATTTCCATTAAGTTGTTGTTAAAAAAGGAAATCCAGGGGGGAAAGACAGATGAAGACAGGATTGACATCTGGCATCAATTTTGTGATGACGGTCACAGGTTAAGGATAGCAATTAGCTCTCTTGCACAGGAAAATTATGCCTGTAATAAAGTGAGCAAATGTATGTGAGATTTCTCTTCTCCAGCTGACTTTATTGAACTGCATTTTGGTGTGGGCATTTAATGCTGTAAAAGAGGTATAGACTTGATAGCGTTTGAAGCTGGAAGCCCACAAAGGAGTCTCAGTGCCAACACCCTTGGGACAAGACACTCTGATCCCTGTTGACAAGCCTCAGAAAAATGTCGTTAGAGGTCCATTTTGCTTCGCTGTGGTCAATTGTGGTAGGTCTGTGTTGTGGAAGGTGGGCAACCCTGAAACCCCTTTGACAGAAGCCACTGAATGCCTGGAAATGCTGCTAGTTAGACGCCTGTCCTGCCAGGGCTAGCACTGTGCTCTTCAGAAAGAAGAGCGCCTTATTAATCCCTTGCTCGTGGAGAAATGGAGAGGCCTGAGGAGTAGGATTACTTTCCTCCGCCTTAGATAATGCTGAAAAACCTTTGTAATCCTGAATTTCACATGCAGAAGCATACACATCTCATACCAAAACTGTGCATACAAACAGACAGATTTTGGGCACTGGTTGTTGTGGGGTGTTTTTTCCTGGTTGTTAACATGACTTCTAACAATTTCAGGTTTTGTTTCTGTAACAGCAAAAGCCAGGGAAGAAAATCTCAGACATCACAATCTCGTCATTATTCTTTTCCTCTGCAGGGCCTCTGACCTGTTTCTACTGGACACACGGGCAGTGTGGGCTTCAGAGGAGGGCTGGCTGGAGTTTGATGTCACTGCCACCAGTAACATGTGGGTGATGAACCCTCAGCACAACATGGGACTACAGTTGAGCGTGGTGACCCGAGATGGTAGGTTATGGGTCGTTGAACACGTGTCACCTCGCAAGTCTCTTGGATGACGTCTAGAAGTGGTGCTAACACGGCTCAATTGCAATGTGGGGGCGAGCACCCTGCTTTTGTAGGCAGCTGTAGCCAACACCTTGAGCAAGGTGTGAGGGCAGAGACTGAGGGCTGTCAGTTCTTGGCTGTCCCACCATGGGCATGTCTTTGCCACAGAAACTTTGAAAGGTGGAAAAGGAGAGAAGAGACTGCAAAAGACCATGAAATGGAACGTTGGAAGATAAGCAGTGGGGAAAGAAAGAATCTAGATGAGCAGAAGGTGACCAGAAAGATGACAGTGACATCTGTCCTCTGTTGGACCCAAACTTATGCTTCCTGGCACTTCATGATACATGTTTGGTACATTTGTAGGGTCAAGTGAGACTGGAGGGGCTATCTACTGTTCTCCCTGAGGAAATGCTAAGAAGCACCAGCCTCCTTCTCCCCAAATGGGCTGAGAGCTCATCCCTGTGCTCCTGACGAAAGCATCCCATCTCTTGGGCCTCTGCTTCCCCTAGAGGTGCCCTAATCCCATCACCACTTCTTGTGTTTCACGGACAGCAGAACTCATTTCATGTCACATATGGGCTTTGAGTCTGTCTTTAGTACCTAAACTGGTGATACTGTAGCGGTACCAAAGAGCCAGGTGCTGCAGTGGAGCCTCTTGTCTAGAATGGATGGGTTGCTGTCATAAAAATGTCCATAGGTTACGGTGGCAAAAGAGGAATGTTTAGTGATTAAAGAAGAAGAGCACGAGCAAGAAAAAAGGAAACACTGCTTAGGGGGATGCTGCGAGGCTGGAAGGAGCAATCCAACTGCATCGCTTCTCATAACCCTTGCTTTTCTGTTTGCTTTGAAGGTTTCAGCGTAAATCCTAGGGAAGCAGGCCTTATAGGTCGAGATGGCCCTTATGACAAACAGCCCTTCATGGTGGCCTTCTTCAAAGTGAGTGAAGTCCACGTACGGACCACTAGGTCAGCGACAAGCAGGCGCAGGCAGCAGAGTCGAAACCGCTCCACCCAGGCACAGGATGTTTCCAGGGTGTCTAGTGTCACAGGTAATCATGGAACACGAGTAATCACGCAACATCATCTGGGATGACTTCTTGCAGTGTTTCCATTTGCTTTGGAATGCAAAAGCAAGAAGAGGGATGTGAGGTGGAACACTTTTCCTTGGGGGAATAGGTTACATCTGCCAGGAGATGGAAGAGGGGGTCTCACATAATGAGATTTACAGGAGTCTTCTTGAATCCACGGTGGAGTCTGGACCCCCATGTGAAGTCGTGGCCATTGAGTTTAGGGTGGGTGAAGTGTCTTTTGTTTGTAGGTTGCTTGCCGTACGGTATTTACCTAGAATTATGCCATGTGAAATGCACTATTAAAAAAATTACATCTCTGTGTACCCTGAAATTTATGGTATTGTACATGTGCATTTTTCCAGGAGAGTCCACTTTTGGTTTTCTTTGGAAAAAACCCTAGTAGAGCAGCATGAGATCTTTTATTTCCCTGATGAGAACAGCAGCGTATGAACAATGAAGCGTGTTTCCAGGCAGGCAAGAGGCTTGCCTCTTTGCTGTGAGAGGGTTGTATGTTGCAGGTGTTGTACGCCACAGCCCTGTGAGTGGCTGGTGGCATAATAGGATAACCCTGAAATTTTGAGAAGAATTGGGAGTGTCCTGTCTAAGTCTTGTCTGTTTTCCAGCCACTCTGCCCATCATTGTGGTGCTGCTTTCCTTGAGTACCTTCTTTCCTCTCAAGCATTTCAGCCCATTCCAAGTTACTTGATTAATTTGCTTATGCTGCCCCCTTCATTTCCAACAGGGTCCCTGCTTTTCCTGTGTCTGGTAACGGGTATACCCCAAGGAAGAGAGGTGGCTGTATTGTTTAGTCTATGTCCAGTCACAGAACAAGGAGATGGGCCAGCATTGCCAGTGTGAATCTGAAGGGTGTCCCCATCTCTGGCTCTTGATGGACTGGCCCTTTGGGCTAGTGCATGCCAGCAGCAGTTGGCCCCTAAGTGGCCGTTGCATGTCCTTGTGCTGCGCGCCGTGGGGTGGCTGTGGGTTCTCATGCCATGCTGTGCAAGTGCTGCTCTTGCTTGGGTGTGAAATGTTGCTTCACGGATTTTAAAGGCAGGAGGAGTGACTCGGTCCTGCAGCCTGACCTCCCTGAGGCGTTGCTAGAGGGGCTTTCACCTCATCTGGCGTGAGAGCCCTTTGCCAGCCCCACAGGTGGAGCCATCTTTTAGTTCCAATCGCTGCGACCTGCTTTGGTCTGGGTTTTCCTTGGGGCCCTCTAAGCTGCACTTTTAAAGGTGGACATCACAGCTGCTCTCTGGGTTACTTTCTCGTGTGATGGGCTTTCTGTCGGCATAGATAGCTCATTTGTCTGAGCATTATAAATGAAAGGTCCAGCTTTTACACAGGCATCGTGCCATTCTCCCACTCAGGTGGGTTCAGTTGCTGCGCTCCTTTCATCACAGGAGCTAATTTCCACAGCTCGTTCACGGCATTTTGGGAAAGCTGCTCGCTGTGTTGCTCTTTTGTGGTACCGGTAGAAGACTCAGGACAGGCTCCAACATTCTCTCCTCAGCTCCACAAGCTTTGCAGTGCTAAGCCCAAGTTTTTACTGCTATTAAATCAGGCGATGTGACTCAGAGCTCCAGAGGGAGCAGATATATTGGGCAAAAAGGGCCATTTTTACACTGCTGCTTTCTTGACTGTACCACACACTGGGTCATAAAATTATAAAATGAGAAAAAGGGAAAAAATAGCTGGTCATTCTGTGGTATCGAGGACTTTTTTGGGCTCTTCTCACTCAAAGTCAGCTTTAATTTAAAACCTGGAATTTGGCAGTTCAGTAGTCAGCAAGGTATAGTTGAGCCTCTGTGGGTTTAAGGCGGGGGAAAGGAGGGGAATTTAAAGTTAAGATGTATGTTTGGTTGGTTTCTGCATTTAGAAAAGAGAGACTACATCAGCTTATTTTCCTTTCTAAGTGTGACACTCCTAGACTCTGTTCTCCTTAAGAAGTGGTTGATTTAATAGCCCAAGAGGCACTGATGACCGATACATGTTTTTAGCATTAAGGAAATCACAGGGATTTTTTTTTCTTTTTTAGCTGTGCCCTGATGGTGCATGCTGGGGCTGGGGAAGTATTTGCCCCAGGATGAAGTAGGAGGCGAGCCCAGGGGTTACCCTGAAGGCTGCCTTGCTCTTCTGAGGATGCGTGGATGCATCTGGACAAAAAGTGGGTGCAGAACTGAGGTGCTGCAGTCCCCTCCTGTGCGTCTCCTCACCTGCACACCTTCCTCTGTCGCTGTATCTTGTATTTTGTCAGAGTTTTGGGTTTTGCTCTTTGCTGAGCCAGGATTGCCTCCGTCTATCAGGGCCTGAGGGCATTTTCTCTCCTGGGAAGCAAGGCAGGTGGCTGATGTTGGTGTTTTTTTGTAGATTGGACCTTCTTTCCTCTGTGTTGGTGAATGCACAGGGTTTCCTTCCTTCAGTCCAAAAATGAACCCCTTTCCCAAAAGTTGCTGTATTAGAGTGGGGCAGTATGTTTCAAAAAGTCCCATTCGCTACCTAGGTATGAAGAGCCTTTCAAGTCCTGCAAGTTTGGGATGTGTGAAGTGTGTTGCTGGATCTGGTGAGCTGGTGGGTTACGTGAAGGCGTGCTGCTACGTGCGGGATTGGGAGTCCCCTGCGGCTCCTTTGGATGTGCCGTTGTTGTCCTGCAGTCAGTACCAACTGTTCAGAGGCTGAGGTTATGGTTGTGGCATAAGAATCTCAATGGTCTGTATTTTTTTGCCAAGAGTGCTCATTTTCCTGTGTTATAAACACGTAGTTATGACTGGCTTATATAAAGCAGAACTGGGTAACCCCCATGGTTACAAACTGCTTTGACATAGAGTCCTGCGTCGGTGCATTCCTGGACAAGCTCTGTTCTTCTGCAGAAGGAGGATGGACGGGAAGGAAAGGAAGCATTTTCATCTCTTGAGGCAGAAAATTATACGCCAGTTCTGGCCCAGGACGTGGAGGAACGAAGTGGGTGGGAGGAGCGTGCAGGTGTTTCTCTGCTGTTGTCTGTAAGATCTGGAGGCCCTCGCTCAGCCGTGTCTCACCTTGGGTTTCACTCTTGTACTGTGGGCTCCAGACTCCAGGCTTGACCCTCTAGTTAACTTGAAGAGATGAGGACTCCCTCCAGCGTAGGAGATGGTGACCCTTGAGCCTGAGGACTTTGGTGCCATGCAGCCGGCTCCTCTGTGAGCTATGATTTCTTTATGGAGCTGTCTCCTTGTCCAGTGGCCATAACTCTTCTCTTCTGTGAGTCAGCGTGCTGGCACATCCCTTCCCATCAGCCCTTCCTGGAGAAGTTGCATTTAAATGTCTGACTTTGGGCTGCACTCAGCAAAACTTGTGCAACACCCCCTTTTCGGTTCCTTCTCTTCAGACACCATGGGGCCTCTGAGATGAGTGTTGAGGTGCTCCATGAGTAGTGGAAGAGCCTTCCAAGTGGCCTTTCCTTCCTGCAGACACACACAGCCCTGGGCAGATTTCCCCACGTGTACGGGAACCAAATATGCACAAACACTGAAGGCAAATAAGGCCAAATGTTTTCATGGTGGCAAGGGTCTTGCGTATAAACATGGTTATCTCGCAGCCAATCTGCCCTTTAGCAGAGAGCTCAGATGCAAACCCGAGCGATGTGGCCGGTGTTTCTGTATGTGCCTACACAGGTGGGTCCACGTCACCCCAAAGTCTCTTCTTCCCACCCAGGCAGATCGCTTTCATGTGAAGCAGGCTGTTATTAACTGTGTGATCGGTTTACACCAGCTTTATCCGGACAAATCGCCAAAGTCAAACACTAAGAAGAAGGGGCTGGCCTTGGAGACCTCTGTCAAAGCTATTTTGAATCGCAGAAGCAATTAATTACTGTGTGGAATTTGGTAAGCTGGCACCTTGGGAGCAGCAAGGTTGTTCTCAGACGGATCGACCTCAGTAAATATTTATATATTCTTTGCCAGCACTTAACGTGGGAGAGGTTAAAGGAAATCTAAGGTGGGTGCCTAAGTATCTGTAGGAGGAAGACCATTAGGGTCAGGCTATTCTCTCACCCTTTTTAGCAACACAGATGCCAGTGTCCAAGCTTTAAGAGAAACATCTGTGCTCGCAGAAAGTCAGGCTCGGCTTCTGGTGAATGCAGACAATGTTCAGTGCAAACAAGCCACAGGGACAAGCTGTCTTAACTGTGCTGCTTTAACTGTGCTGTCCTGGAAGTTATTTTTAAGTGTAGAACTAGGGGTTTGGGTTGTGTTTTGTTAGCTTTTTTTAAAATCTCTGTTTCAGACAAAATAATTTGCAGTGTGATTAAATGCAGTGCCTTGTAAATGCCAGGCTGGTGTTTCTGAATTGGTACATTCACGGGGGGAAAAAAAAAAGAGATGATTTGTTAAACCCACAGTGAGTCTATAGGAGCTCCCTAAGCTCGCAGAGATTTTGGAAGGCCTCTAGCGAGCAAATCGTGTTGTGGTAGTGTAACCCAGCCCCGTGGTGGTTGTTTGCAGGATTCCCCCGGCTGCAGGGCTGGCGGGAAGGGACACGGTCCCCAGTGGCTCCCACCAGCTGGATCTCGCACTGTGAAACTACCTCAAGTTGCAATTTGGGCCAAGACAGCTGAGCATGCTGGACGAGAGTAGCTGAAAACTGCTTTCCAGGCTTTGGAGAAAATGTGTTGTGGAAGCCCACTTCAGTAGCTCACTGCCAAAAACTCCTTACTGTGTGGATTCCTCTATTTTTTCAGGCCCATAATTGGATGTACATCCAGTGTACATGGCTCTAGGGCACATGCCGAGCCTCGAACTGTAGGGAATGGATTGTTATTACGTCATCTGTATTTCTGCATTTTTTACTCCAATTGAGAAAGCTGCTCTTACGGGTTGATTAAAGGTTTGTAACATCCCTAAAGCTGGGCTGAAGTAGATTCCATAAAGTGGTAGGCAAATATAATGATAGGAGAGGGCAGGGGAGCTTGGGGTGAGGATTAAACAGAGGAGAGTGCAAATCCCGAGAGAGGGAATGTTTAATACATTAACATTTAAGGGTGAATTTGGGCAAGTGAGGAGGTGGAGCTGTCTGCGTCCAGCTTGGATGGAGAGCAGCCAACGCTTGATGCAGAGTGTGAAGGAGGTGACCCCAGCTAGTGAGCTGAGGCACATTTTTGGGGACCAATTTCAGGCAGTGTGAGAGAGGACACCTTCATAACATGTTCTGCTTCACGTAGCTTGTTAAGTAACTCTTTTCCCCCCCACTGTGTTTTCTTAAACTTGTGATTCCTTACAGCCTGTCTTCCCACTCCTGTTTTCTCTGTCTCCCTTGCCTTCTCCCCTTTCCTGTAGCTGATCTGGGTAACTTGTAGGTGCATTTGGAACACAGCATCCTTTTGCCCACTCAGGTGTGAATAGGTCAACTCTAACTCCCTATCACACAGGGATTGTTTTCCTCTAAGCAAACAATGTATTTCCCATTGAAGAACAATCAAGTTATGTTTTCAGGTCCATGAAAGCCTTTAACCACTTAAAGTATCTTCCGCTCATTTTTTTTTTCCTCTTGGTTATGACCAGATCATTTAGAAATTTCTCATGCTAGAAATTTGCTCCTTGGGCTGAGCCAAGGACTGAAACCCTTCACCTGGGAAAAAAACCAAACTACCATGCCCTGATTTCTTATGGGTATGTCTGATCTGAAAATCGAAAGCTTGAATAGAAAGAGACTCGCCTCCATCCTTGAGAGAGCGAATGTTTATGCTGCAGCAGGCTGTTAACCAGCTCTGCTCACCTGATTAAATCCGTGATTGAAGCGAAGCTATTGAAAGCCTGAAATGCAGTCCTTAAAAGTTTAAAACACAAACTGCTTCTAAAAACAACTCTCTAATCTGTGGTGGTTTGAGGTGTAGAGTTTTTTCAGACCTCAGTGCTAACTGTGCCCAGCTGTAATGCATGTCAGTTGGATGTGCTTTTAGTATTATAGTTTTTCTTTTGAATAAATATTTGCATTTGTAGTTTCCCAAACTTGGGGGAGGGAAGAGGGAAGAAAAAGAAAGGCTTATTCAGAGCCAAGGGAAAAAGTCACTAAAAATATTTTTCTATCCCAGCTGCCACGTTGGGGGAAAGCTACGCCGGGAGGGTGCCCTTTCCAGCGGTGTGAGGGGTGCGGGGGGGCTGGTTTGGCTGAAAGGCCCAGGGCAGCGGGAGGCAGGAGCGCCAGCGTGGGGCATCTGCCTGCTCATGGAAGCGCCTTTGCTCTCAAATGAGGTGTGTGAGGAGCAGCAGAGGCCCCCGTGGGTGAAACACCGAGGAAAACATGGCCAGTCCAGCTCCAGCTCTGGGACGAGCGCACACGTGTCACCACGTTGCTCAGATGAATTCGCCACCTTCTCTTCCCCTCGTGCTTCCCCTCAGGTGCAAAGCGTGGGTTCGGTGGCCGAACTGACCCGCCAAGAAGGTGGTTTCTGCCGCTGCTGCGCCGAGGTCCCAGAGCTGCCCCGAGGTGTGGCGAAACCAGCCACCAGCCGTCAAGGCTGGATTTGTGCAGCCACGCAGGGGTGAAATGCCCCTCTTGTCACAGCTGGGCTCTTCTGCTCGCTGCGGTTCCAGGTGTTTGCGTGCGGGGCCGCCTCTCTTTCCAAATATAGATGGGAAATTCCACCCGCTGTCAAAAGCTGCATTTTCGTAGGGCCGTGGGGAGCAGCTCCTGCACGGTCAAAACATCCTCGTACTTGTGCCACGGCGAGGGGGCAGGTCTCTCGTCAGGGCTTCACAGGCTGCGCCCTCACTCTCCCGTGCGGTGTAGGCACTAAGGAGCAAGTTAATGTTGAGAGCGTGTGAAATCCTGTTTCGTCTGCAGGTAAGCGGGTTATGGGAAGGAGAAACCTGTTTCTCAGAGGATCTTTACAGAGGTCCAAGAGCGGCGGTTGTGCCTGGAGGCATGTGCGATGCTGGAGGCAGGCACAGAGAGGGACGGGGACACGGCTTCCCTGCCTGTGGGATATCTTAGCTGTTGAAGGCCTTCTCCTAGCTGGGCATAAGGTGACGATTAACCTTCCTGGGGTTGTAATTCTTTCAGTAAGTGTGTGCGTTTTGAGCTTACCACCTCGGGGCGGCACACATCAGAAAGCACGGCCGAGGAAGCGGGGTGAGTTTGAGCACCCAGCGGGGATGTAGCCTGTGCCGGGCTGAAGGAGTAGATTTATTTTTAAGAAGTCATGTTACTGAAGGTGTTTTACAGGCACCTCTTGATCAAGTTATTAAAGGCAGCTGAAGGGATTACAACCAAGCTGGTGTTACTTGGGTGCCTCCATTCCCGTTGGCATCTTAAAAGCTTCAGCCCTGCTTTGGATGTCCCTCAACACCCTTGTCCTTTGGGCTGCTGAGAGAGCTTGCTGTTTCTCACTGCCGAGCCTGCAGCGTGCACACATCTGGCCAGCTGTGCCCTCTAGGGCTGCTCTGCTTGTTTCACTCCCTCAATTCCTGTTTTGTTCTTTTTATTTTAACAGATTACAACAGCAGTGACTTAAAAACAGCGTGCAGAAAGCATGAGCTTTACGTTAGCTTCCAAGACTTGGGATGGCAGGTGTGTGATGTTTCTGTCTGGGTAAACTAGACATTTTGTTATGAAATGTTATCTAAACAGTGTCACCGTAATTCCACTCGAGGCTGCCATTATGCTTTAAAATGTCCCTTGTGCCCCCTCACTAAAACCAGTCACAGGGAAGGGCAAATAAATATTGATAGTTGTGACATTTGATAAGATCCAGAGGAAGCCTGATACTTTATGAGATTCAAGTATACAGTTATTCTCTGTCACCCGTGGGAGTCACGGTACGGGCAAGGGCTCATATCTGTGTACCTCTAATGATAAGGAAAAACATGTTAAGCAGTGATAGTAAAAAAAAAAAAAATCAATTATTTTTTTTTTCTAGTGATCAGCCTAGCTTTAACCTTGGCCATTGTGTTGAAACCCTCCAGCCCTGCCCCAGAATTAGCACTGGCTGTGGTAGGTGGACTCAAGACTGGGTTTAGTTGCAACACCGTGAGGCCAGGGAGCTATTTTAAAGTTATTTAGGGCTGGGCCATAGTGTCATCAAACATCATGTTTCAGAGAATGCCCTCAGCTTCTCTTTCTTTATTTCTTTATTTTTAAAATTTTTATTCTTTCATTCAGCACTTTTGTAAAGGAGGTCCCATTTCTATCTATTTTTACCAGATTATAATTCAGGATGCCAGAGCTGCCCCTGCTGCTTCTGTAATACCCTACATGTGAAAGTCCTCTCCCAGCTCACGGGACAGCAGCAGTTTTTGCAGCTCCCTGGTTAAATAGTGCATGTGTGCCTGCGCACACACACACACACGTGAACATAACGTGATTTTCTCTGAGAGAGGACACCAGTCTAAGGCTGTGACTCAAGCTAGGAAAGGTGGTTCAGTCTGAGGGCCTAACCTGCAGGAAAGGTTGGAACATAACTAAAGGCATCCAAACCCACAATCCCCCCAAGGCAACCCAGCAAGAGTTTTAGGAATAAAAGTCTTTTAGTTCACGGCAGTAAAGCTGTGCATAGATGTGCACCATTCTTTGGACACTAAAAATCAGTGTGTCCATGGAAAAGTCATGGCTCATCAGGAGAAAAAAAAAGAAAAAAAGAAAAAATAACCCAAAGCGTAACAGTTTCAGTGAAAACACATTTTCACCCTCAAGAAAAAAAGTTAGTGGAAAATTTTCAGCTGCTCTTAATTGCATGCAGTTGTCTGTACAAGTTGGCAACTTTTTTAATTTGGATCATGTTCTGTTCGTTTCCTAAAAAGGACTGGATAATCGCTCCAAAGGGCTACGCGGCCAACTATTGTGATGGGGAGTGCTCATTCCCACTGAATGCCCATATGAACGCCACCAATCACGCCATCGTACAGACTCTGGTAAGTCTCCAGAAAGCTCAGTGCCAAAGCGATAGGTGAAGTTGTGGGCGAGTTACTCAGTTGTTTGTTTTGTTTTTTTTTCTTTTTGGCAACAGGTTCATCTTATGAATCCTGATTACGTTCCCAAACCATGCTGTGCACCTACCAAACTCAATGCCATATCTGTTCTTTATTTTGATGATAATTCTAATGTAATCTTGAAGAAATACAGGAATATGGTAGTAAGAGCTTGTGGCTGTCACTGACAAACAGTCTTTGTGGGGACTCTGTGATTCTACCATGAACTTCCATACTACCTTCTGTGCTTTCGTGAACTACCTGACCTTGGGAGAAAAAAAGAAAATAATTGATGAACCACGCGTTTGAACACCACGTATGTGCCTTGTGGGAGGAAGGGGTGTGGGGACCACACACCGGGGTGCAAGTAAACCGCAGGACTTCTTGCAGACTGACCCCGAGCTGCGGCAGCTGCTCAACTCTGCAGAGCTGGGAGGTGGGAAGCAGCAACACATGTGTTGTTTGGCGGGGATGGTCTTCATCTCGTGGAGCAGCTCCGCCTTAGAAGTTGCTTGGATGTGTGCTGCAGTTTTACCAGATGGGCACTGAACACCCGAAAGAAGAGAGGGGTGTTTCTTGGAAGGAGGGGAAAGCTAAAGGGAATGGTGTTTGTTAGCACTTCAGCCTCAGAGCATGCATTTTGTACAAGACAATAAAAAATTCCTAAGGTTAGGAATTGCCTCTTGTCTGGAAGGACCAGTTACTGCACCTAGACTGTGCATTAGTCTCCTCCTGAGATCTGTCACAACAGCTAAGCATCTTAAATTGTGCCAAAGCAAACGTTTCAGTTCTCTCTGTTCTCCAAGCACGGTTCTAAGTCTGACCCTGCACGCGCAAGATGCCTTGGCTGCACCCTGTGTTAGAAATACGAGCGTGACCTCAGGCCCCGGCTGGTTTTTTCCAGTTCGGTACTTGACCTGACCATTATAACTCGACACGCTTTTTCTCAAGCAACTTCCGTCCACTCCCCACGTGGAGCTGCCTCATCTACTACCACTCGCCCGGGAAGGAAGTGGGGACGCTTCTGCAGCTGTAATTCAGACGTAAAAGTTGAGGGGTTGTTCATTCTTCAGCTGGACCGTTTATTTACAGGAAGACAGAAGGTCAACAACACGTGTGAGTCTTTGGCCAACCTTTCCCCTTCGTCTCACGCAACTAACAAACTGGTCTAAAGGATATGTTCGCCGTGTAGCCACGGTTTGCCTAGCAGAAGCTAATAGCAAATTGTTCTGATCAATATTAAACTTGTATTAAATGCACTTACCTCTAATTCTTGCATTTAAAAGGCTTCTTGTAAATATGAGCTATAATTTATTGCACTTGTCACTGTATATTCATTGTGCTGTATCATTTATAGAAAGACTGCTTTTTAAAAAAGTTTTTATTTAGAAAAATTTCAGTGTAAACAATTGTACCACTTCGATTTCATACAAGAAACTCATGAGATTGTGCTTCAGTAGAAAGTTGTTAAAAACATATAATAAAGGCTCCCTTTAAGGCAGAAGTATGTACATTGACATAATACATCTGCCAGTACAACACTTAGCTTTCACTGTGGCTTTTTCATCCTTAAACAGTTTTAGATTAAACAGGATCAAAAGTTCTGGACAGACAGTAAAGTGAAGTACCAGGAGAAATTCACCAATTTTAAAGTTCATTGTTGTTTTGCCTTTTTTTTTTAATATAAAAAAACCCATACCAACCCAGCCTACTCCATATGATGGACAAAAGTCAGCATCTTGACAGATTAGTCAAATTAGCCTGTACCGATCCTCATTCTATGAGTTTCTGTGCACGTGAGGTGGCAGAATTCAGTCCTTGGTTTTCTGTTGTCTTTGTATTGTGACAGTCTCTGCAGCGTAAAATTCTTTGGCTTTCATTTATGTCTAACATGGAACATCTTACTCTTACACACCAAAGAACAGATTCATCTTACAATCCAAGGCACCAGAGTGCATGGTCCCAGCATTCCAACTTATCAACACTTAACAGCTTGGAAAAAGGTTAAGGCTCAAGAAGAGTGGGGCACTATTTTACACTACTGTAGGATAGCTGAACGGGGGAAAAAAAAATTTAAAACAAAAAAATTAAACATTGTACTATGTGTTGTTCTCTAAGTACTCTGAATAGGGAGCAGGTCAGCCCAAAGCCTGGAGGCAGGTGAGAGCAGCAAACACACGCCGTCAGCTCTGAAGCCTGACTGAGCGTTTAGTATTAACCGAGCAGTTCTAGTAGCACCCGATCACGGCAGCTCTGTGGCAGTAGAGCAGAGTTACTCCTCTGGAGCTGGAGAGAGGCAGCCTACGAAAATCCACCTGACCTCTGTGCGCTCCGGCATCAGTGATGTTCAGGCACGTGTGACGATACTGTCACGTTTGTTACAGCTGGACCTTCCCTGCCGAGAGTCTTAACGGGAAACAACTGGCTCACAGTGGCCTGGTATCTTCCAAAGGGGGGTGTGTGTGTTTTCAGCCTCCCCTGACTTTCCATTTCTTAAACCAGCGGCTATGTTAAAGACAAATCAGGTTTACGTACAGTTGTAGAGGCAAAAGTCACTCAACACAGCTGTAGCTTTTACCTTTCTAGTAATGGTGGGCAGTTTGTTAAGGATTACTTTTTAACCAAATCTAACCTGAAGATAAAAATATTCTAGTGGTGCCCTTAAGTTGGTTTTCTTAATGTATTTTTAGTCTCAAAGGAAACCATTTACACTTCATTGTGGGAATGCAGAAATGCAGCAATACTACTAATACTGAAAATATTCTCAATTTACACAGTAACTACGTGTTAGTTTTCCTTCACCCACAGGGCAGCATGTCTTTAACACACACATCCAGAGGGAAGATACCAATATTTAGTATATTCAATTTCCTAAAAACAAATAGAAAAAAAAAATATATATATCCCACTACCCACCCTCCCATTCCCAAATAATACACTATTTGAAAATTAAGAATTATTGAAATCCCTCAAAGACAGCCAGGGACGGAGCATCCAGACTTTTATTACAATTCATCCCTTGCCTGACGCAAGACAAAGCTATGCAGTGATTCGAGGTCTCTCGTGCCATTGTGTTCACTGACTTTCTTTCCCCCTCGGAAAAGCAGAAGCGTAGGATAACCACGAACCTTCAAAAGAGACACATACACACATACAAAAAGACACCTGTTACTAACGTCCAAACTCCCTGGTAGCTTTCACTGGTATTTACCTGACTCGGTTAACCCCCTCTAAAATGATAAGCTATTTTAATTTCGAAGAAAAACCTATCAAACACCACACCAGACCTTCCAATGCCACCCTGCAATTTCTGAACATTTGTAAGTGAGTAGGATAACACGTCTTCCTCTCGGCTTTTAGAATGGCAGCACCAGCTCTGGCTCCAGTTGTCTGCCCACCAGCACCACCAGAAGCTGGGTGGCATTTTTTTTTTGTGTTTCTTTTTTTTTTCCTAGGAACAGAACTTTGCACTGGCTACCACAAGACTGCTTTTGCGCTTTCACAGAGGCTTCTTAAATTAGGGCCTTCTTCAGCTTTATCTGCTAATGAGAATGACCAAGCCTGACCAAATACTCCAGGAAAGAACCGGTGTCACCAGGTGCTGTTCTGAATTACCTCTTTTTTTTTTTTTTGGCTAATGGAGAACACAGCTGCACCATCACACCAGGCACCCGTAACGCGGCGGCTGCGCGCGGGAGCCGCTAACATTTGGTACACGGTCCTACCCTGTTCTCTGCAGCTCTTTCACACTTACAGAAAATCTGTTGCAGACGTTACGTTCCACAGTGCAGTCGACTTCTGCTATTTTGACATCAGTCAAACCTGGAAATTGCTCTTTGGCGAGGTTCTCCCAAGTTGGAGCCAAGTTCTTACAGTGACCACACCTAGAAACAGAAGAGAGAGGTTTGTTTAGCAGATCTACCTTCCAGTTTATCTCTGCTGTCTTGCTGCAAGAGCTGGAAATTTAACTAGCTGCCTTTCCTATCCCCTAATGGTTTGGCCCTCCAACTCCCTTGCACTAGTATGTCAGTAAATGAGCTAAGAAAACAAGTGATTTTTTTTCTGTGAGTTAAGCACTGAAGTGCTTTCTGGAGTTCATTAGTGTTGTCTGGAATGATATTCTGGATTTTGGCGCATTAACATTTTTACCCTGCAGAGGAGTATGAAGCCCAATGAAGATGAGCATTTAGACTATTTAAATGAAAGAAAAAAAAAAAAGAATCACTTCTAAACAAACATAGTAGTAAGGCACAGAATGTCTGCAGAATGTCCTTTGTTAAATTAAGTCTTCAGGTAGCATGTGCGAGTTATGCTTAAACTACATAGTTAGAGTTTAATTATTTAAATGAGTTTTTAATTTCCCTATTAAATTTCCTCCCGTTGCTAACAGCCTCCTTGACCAATGTAGCATTACCCAATGCTGGAAACTCAGTTTTACTAGAGGCATTGGCAACACAGATTCTGTTTTTATAAAACACACCAGTAGTTTAATGCACATTTTCACTGAAGCTACTTTGAAGTTTAACCACTACCCAGTCTACTTCCAGGTACATCTGCAATGGAATGGTTTGATAGCGACTAAGCTTCACTTAGCAGATGAAAAAATAATAATAAATAATAAAAAAACCAGACCCTTTTCTGATTTGCATTAAATAGTCATTCCAGTTGTATCATCAGTAACACCAAAAAGCCTATTTCTATTTTATTCCCTTATGTCTCTACAGTAACTTGAGAATGCAGTTCAGAAAGTACGCACAATGAAACACGAGTGTCAAGAGAGAAAATTATACTATAAAATGGCAAGAACTACAGTAAAGTATTAATTTTGTTTATATTTTGAGCTTGGCTTAGCCAAGTTCATAATTTGAACTTATTGCCCTCAAAAAGAATTCCCAAAGCACTTTAGACTTTAAAGCTGCGTTGCTCATTCTATTCTGACCCAGCTGCACCTTAATTGGGTTATTAAAACAGCCCCATAATTGCCTCAGGGCTGGATCAGCACATTTGCAGAAATAATGAAAGATGCCTCTGCAAAAGTTTTCTTACTACAAGCCAGCGTATATTTAAGCCACCTTGTTAATACACAGTGACAATATAAAAGCATTTTTGACCATGCACACAAAAACTGCTACGAGAGGATAGTTTTATGCTTACTATGCAAGCTGGCGTTAACATTTATCCAAAACTAACTGAAGAAAGAACTAGCGAGCGACATAATAATGTTTGCTGAGCTCTACAGAAGTTAATCCTCTTGGAAGAGAAAAAGGTCATTTATACGTGGAGCCCTACAACTGTATACAAAAGCCTGACTTTCAGCTCTAGAACTAGGAGACTGGCTACATAAATATAGGAAATATTCTTCCTAAACGGTGGCTTTCCGAATACTGCAGCCAGGGAGCACACACTGGTTTGAGAACACAACCCTCTGCGCCCTGAAGCACCATTTCTCAGCCAGCCACCACCACCTGCAGCCCTGAGAGCCAGCAGCACCCCGCTGGAATCTCACGAGACGTGGCGATGGTTCAGATGCAGTATTAGTAAGAGAAGTTAATTAAAAAGCGGAGCATTTCTTTCTCTCCAACGTTCCCAGGGAAAAAGTTTCTCAGTGAATGAGCTCCTACATCAGCCTACAAGCCCTGGGCTCAAAAGTCGGGCTAGAAACTGCTTTGTGCACAAGTGAAAACTGAATTTTCCAGCCAGTTCTGCTGGTGGCACAGTAGCAGCGCAGGCACAGATTCCAGCCCAGCTCCTCACAGGGCACAGAGAGGGGAAAGGGGCTGAAGAAGGAGTAATAAATATGGAGGGGGCAGGGTGTATGGACAGGGTATTTCTGAACACGGTGCTGGCAGGTACTTGCCCACATCAAAAAGCAGATCCTTCAGAGGTCAGAGAGCACAGAAGTGGCTCTCAAGCAGCAAAACCACGCAGCAGTCAAAAGGGTGACAACATTGGAAAAGCCTGCGTCATTGGGATTGCGTCGGACAAAACCTTCCCTCATAATTCTTGCCGACGATAAGAAACACATTCATGCCAACTGACAAAGTTAAGCTGCAATATTTCGATGCTCCTAAGCGCATTTAAATATGGGTTGCATTTGCCTGTGTTGCTTTTAAATGGTGACCTTTTACCATCCCAAACAAAAGATGTTTTTATAATTTATATACTGCATTAATGGAATGGCTAATGGTGAAACCAGAGCTGCATTATCTTTCACACACTGAAAGGCAGCTTAGTTTTAATCCCTCCTCCTACACCAGGCTTCCTTCTACTTGCTAAGAAACTGGGCAGTGGAGGAGAAGGAAGGCATGTGAGTTCCATTAAAGGCACAACTAAGATCAAGTCTATAAACCGGAGAGAAACATAAAGCTTTTTGTTGTTGTTGTTTCAGAAAGGGAATAGTTAAGAAAAGGGAGAAAATATTTGTTCTATGAGTTTGTAACACCAAGGTCTTACGCTGGTTGGGTCCCAGGCTCTGCTGGATATGCCAGTAACGGCAGATGCCAGATAGGACATTATTTGTTTCTCCCCCAGGGCTTTCCACTGGGTGCCTACACCTCCCCTGCGTCACCATAAGAACATATTACATGGAGTACGCTCTTAAGAACATCTCACAATTGCCACTTGTGCTTCCAAGAGAGTTTGTGACAGGAGAAGGCCTCAAGGCCAGCAAGCTCACCTTTCTCAGCACTGGGGATACGCTCCCCTCACCTTACCCTAAACACGGGCCGGGAGCACATGAAGCTGGGAAAGCACTCTCCTTGTTCCCCTGCAGTACCTGGAGGCTGACACAGTAAAGCCTCTCTGTCAGCCTTTCTGCAGAGAAACATCCCACGAAAGCTAAAACCGATTGAGCTTTTTTACTGTAATGCTTGCCAACACAAACATTCTCCAGTTAATTCACATTTTAGATCCAGAAAACAAGCACAATGCTACACACAACTCGCAAGACCTACAGCAACTAAAGCTTAGAGGAGCAGTAATCCCAAGCAACGACAGGTGTGAACTTCTTACCATGGAGCATAGAATTTAATAAAGGTGATCCCCCTAGCAATGGTTGCATCAAAGTCTTTTTCGGAGAGAGAGAGCACTGCAGCCTGTTCCAAAAGCAAAAGAAAAAAAAAGAGTCAAAACGTTTTGTGTATATAACATCAGCCAAATGACCCTTCAGCTACCTGAAAGGGAAACTCAAACTGGAAAAGATAATATTATTGTATCGATAATATAAACAAGAGCACACCTCGCTTCCACCCCTCACATCTACTTTCCTCCCCTAGAGAGATACAGAGAAATGCACATTTCACACTGAATCTCATCCATAATTGGAGAAACTAAAACCACTCCTGTTTAAGCGGATTTGCCTGTATGTTGGAAAAAAAATAATTTAAAAAATCACCCTCATTTTAATACACTGTTTCAAGGAACAACCCTGAGAGGAGTCAGCGAAAAGCACATAAAGGCTGCCTGAGGGTTTAACGAGGTATTCAGGGCACGACAGTGATGTCCCGGCAGCTGCTCTGCCTCTGCTCCGCCCCTGTGTCACACAGACCCAAAAAAACGTTACCAGACAGAGTTTTCACTCCTGATAACATCGGGAGCGCTGGCACGGGAGTGCTGGGAGGGCAGCATGTTGCTTGCAGAGCGGCTCACGTGAGAGCACAGAACCCCAACAAACTTGGGGTTGTGGTTTGGGGTTTTTTTTTGGCGCGAGACTCTTAAGGGTGGGAGGAATTAAAGAAATCTCACACCTAGAAAAGCTTCAAATTCAAATGAAAGCAAAAGTAAAACGAGCACAACTGACAGTATTACTGATTCTGCTTTAAACCCAGTGAGAGCTTTATGACAGGCAACCAAAAAGAAGTCTCAAATTACAAATTATTACCTTTAAACATTTCTCTAAACAACTGTTAGTTTGTGAAATTTAGTTATTTCAGCAAGCTGAAGTGTGATTACCTCTAAAGAATTATTTATAAATTAAAAATTATACTTTCTAATTATTAATGACAAATAAATCAATTAAAACAAAATTAGTAGTTGTCTGTTACGAATTTCCTAAATGGATATCTAAAATGGATGTTCCAAATATGATTTAGTTTAAGACACCAAATCTTAAAAGCCCTATAAATAACATCTTCCCCATGACCCACACAGTAAAACAAATCTACAAGATTTGTAGCAATGAGAACTGCATAAGCACAAATATCAGGTAATTCAATTTTAGCTTGGTTTCTTAAGAAAAGACACCTTACACACTCCACAATCTGAACATCTCCTGGTCACTCTACCTTAATTTATCTGGATCATTTCTGAGAAGTTTTAGCAATGTCTGGCTGGAGAGAAGTCTCACGGAAATAAAAGTAGGGCTTTTTGTGGAGAAAGGGCTGGCAAGCACTTGACCCGTGTAAGACACGGGGGAATCCATACAGGGATCCCCACTGGGGTACAAATTTGGAGTTGGAACTCTGCTTTTGCCCCTCGTGCTACCAGCTGCAGGCTGCTGACGGTAAATGCTGAGTTTGCTGGCTATGTGGTCTAGCCCCTTGTTTCAGAATTCATGAAAATAAACCCAGAACCAAAGTGTTTCAAGACTAGAGATCAAGAAATGGTGGCATTCACAGCTGTGATGCAAAGACAAGTAGAGCCCTATGCTGTGTCTACTATTATTTGGCAAAAAAAATAAAAAAAAAAATCCCACCCTTGTGCTGGCGCATGCAAGGCATAAGAGGGAACTTGCATCACGTGTGGTTTGTCTAATTTCTATAAAAATAGAAAGGCAACTAATTATTTTCTGCATTGTACCAACACCAGCTTGTTAGGATCCTTCAAATCAACTGATTTAAAAAAAAATAAAATTTGAGGGGTATGAAAATTGCACATCTATGTTGTTGGTCGTGTTTTATGCAAGACAAGTAATGCTGCTGGAACGGTCACCTGGAAAAGGTAATATTCTGCTGTGAGAAGCTGCATAAAATCCTGTTTATATTAACAATATTGACTGTTTTACTTATGTAAATTCATTCTACATCACAAGGGAGTGTAAATCACCGTCCCTTGTTTTCTAGGCACAAGTATGTTTTCCACACTTCATGAAAAAGTCTGCTTGAAAACCATTCCTAACTTCTCACCCTCACCAGTTTTACACTCAGCTACAGAGAAGGTGGCAAATGAAATGCTGAAGTGATTAAAAAAAAAAAAAAGAGGCAGAAAACTAAATGACACAAAGTACAAGGTGATGAAGATATTCCTGCCAATTCCTTGTCAACATTCATAACCCCTGTAGCTCCTACAATCAGGATTAGGATAAGCCTCCAAACCTGAGGAGTTTTCTTGTCACAGGACATGTGACCTTGCCACATTTAGATCAGTCTTCATAATCGCTGCTTTTTTTGTTGTTTCTGCAGGTGGTCTGCAAGTGTAGGACCCTGACCTTTTTTAGGGGCTTAGCAGCATGCGCCATCCTCCTGTGCTCGAGTGCGAATCTTGCAAGAAACATTCATCTCCACAGCGATGAAATCTGCTGCCACACAGACCGAGGTGACACAAGTTTGACAGACCAAAAAAGATCAATTTATGTCACTCTACCTGAACAACTTAGTGCAATCATAAAAAAAGAAAGGAGACAGGTTGGTTTGGTTCTTTCCTTCTCCATCAGGTTAGTAAAAGCACCACTAGGATTTATAGTCTTCTTCCACTCATTAATTACTAGAAAAGTAAGCAGACATGCATTTGGTGCAGTTTACATCTAGAAATTGAGAAGCTATCAGAGAAAAAACAACCACACGCAAGACTCAGACAGGCTGCTGAAACAGTTTGCCATTTGTAGCGTCGCTGCAGAGTGGCAGGAACACTTACCTCAACGTGGGGGTGTTCCGCAGGCGGCTGCGGGGCTTCAGCGGGTTTATCTGCTGGCGGCTCCTTCCCAGAGCTCTGTAGTTGGGAATCCACGTATTCCTTTAAGGAATCGAAGTCCCTCTTCCCTTTGTACTGGTCACCCTAAAATTATCAAAGAGTTGGTGCAAGTGTGTACGTGCAGTTAAATCATTGCCAAGAAAACATAATGTTGCCAAGTGTAAGTGTATTCATAACATGATTATCTAGTCATTAAAACCCTCAGTGGCACTCCATTTACACCACGTCTTCAGGACTTACCGTAGATTCTTCTGTAGCAAAAGAGAACAATCTAAAGTTTCCTTGAAATGCATTTTAGAAATGCAGAAGCAAATTTCACAGAATCACAGAATGTTCGGGGTTGGAAGGGACCTCTGAAGATCATCTAGTCCAACCTTCATCCCAGCATACCTAACCACTACACCATAGCCTCAAGTGCTAGATCTGCTTTTTTTTTAAACACCTCCAGGGTTGGTGACTCCACCACCTCCCTGGGCAGCCTGTTCCAGTGCCTCACCACTCGTTCAGTAAAGAACTTCCTCCGAATATCCAATCTAAACTTACCCTGACGCAACTTGAGGCCATTTCCCCTTGTCCTGTCATTAGTAATTAGAGAGAAGAGACCAGCACCAGCCTCACTACAGCCTCCTTTTAGGTAGTTGTAGAGGGCAAGAAGGTCTCCTCTCAGCCTCCTCTTCTCCAGACTAAACAAATCCAGTTCCCTCAGCCGATCTTCATAGGGCATGTTTTCCAGACCTCTCACAAGCCTTGTTGCCCTAACTTCCACTTTGACCTTCATCTCACTCTAGTGAGCTTTATCAAGGTTTTACTTTTCTGAACCTAAAGCTACTGCAAGGATCATGAAAACACCCACTGTCATTTGGTGGTGATCTCTGTTACCCTGAGAGCTCTGCCCAGTGCTTTGGCAGGGCTGAAAGACTCGACTTGCACAACAGCTGCTCTGGTCCACACGCTTCTCACATTCTTGGAAAACCCAAACCGTTTGGGAATGCACCTGCATTCACCCAAGAGCAAGAGACAACGGCTGCCTGCCTCCAGGCACACATTTCCAACAGGACCGCTCTCAAAAAAATTAAGTCACATGTCTTGAACCTCCATAGAAAGCTGGCCAACCAGCCAGATCTTCAAAAAGCCACAAGTTGGCCTTAGGAGCTCTCCCACACCTTGGGTACTTTCAGAGCTCCAGAGAGCAAGAAATCAGAGCACCTCTGAGCAGTTCCCAATCTCAAATCCCCTGCTGGCCATCTCCAAACTGGCTCTTGCGCGATTGCCCTCAGCGCTCTCTGTGAAAATTAGTACCAATTTCTCTGTTCAAAAGAGACATCATCTCTTCCAAACAGATAGAATTTGGATAGAATTCTTGAGTTTAGGTCCCATGAAGTGTGGGCTACAAGACATACGTCCTCTCACAGGTGAGGAATACTCTCTGAGAACGAGTTTACAATCTTCCGTACGCTGGAAGGAAGAACAGGCACCTCTTCAACTACTTCCTACATCCTCAGAACTCTACCTACATGTTTTTCCTCTTTTTTTCCTTGATAATGTTGCTTGTAACTATTAGGCACTTGCCACGCGCTGGGTCTAAATCACAAAGGAATTCATCTAAGGTGACTCAGATGTGAGAAGCCTGTACCTGCTCGTTTGTATCCATTTCAGCAGGGCAGGGGCAGAGCCCGTTCATTCCTCCCTGGGCTTCTGCTGCATCTAACCGAGCGGAACGGTGCGATGCCAGACTTCAGTTATGACAAAGTGGGCGATGGTATTCCAGACAACAAGGCTGAATGGCTGAAGCAGTTCTCCTCCTCCTCCTCCCTCCCCTTACTGAACAGTAAAACAGCAACCAGAGAGATTTCCAGGAATTTCTGGGGCAGAGTATTGGAAAGTTGTCGGGGTTGTTTTGTGGTTTTTTTAAAATATATTGTATCAGCCCATGAAGGAAGATGCGATTCTGGTGGCAGTATGCCGCCAGGGAATACCAGGCTGCCAATGGAGAAAAGCCAGTTTGATGTCAGCAGAAGTATATTGTTCAGACTAATGGCTGAGATTCAGCTCTACCAAATAAAACAGCAGCCATCTGACTTTTTCCTTTACCACACTCTTGATTCCAATAACTCCGAGCAACTTCAGTAATTACAAAGGGTCAAAAAAAAAAATAAATTGATCTGGCTTGTCGAGAAGAACCACAGTCAATTTTTCTACATCAAAATAGCACAGTTCTGGCAAGATATCTTGCCATCTATAGCTATCTGAAAAATAAAAATAAAGCAGGTGGAAAACCATTCTGGAGAAACAGCAGAATACCTCCCATTCTTCAGACTCACACTACACAGAGAGGAGAGTTTAATTAACTGAAAATGCTTCTAACATTGGATATGCCACCAGGTTTGACCTGAGCACTCCCTCAGCTTCCAGCTCTGCTTCCGACATGTGCCAGGCGGTGCGGCTTCGTTTAATTTCCCTGCAGTGTGGTGTGAGGTGCTAAACCTCTGTGCACTGGCATCTACTTGTGGCCACTTTCTGTTTAAAGTCCCCCAAAATTTCCATGAGCGACAGCCACTCAACTGGACTAAGCAGCAAAACTTACAGCTCTGTTACCGTAGGTGTTCAAAAAAGGAATGTAAGATGATTGTGCGAAACCTCCAAACCCCGCAAAACTTAGTGGGTAAAGAGCTGAAAGAGGAGTCCTGGGCTCTCTGCTTGCTGCCCTGTTTTTAATATACATTTAGCTTGTCTAAAAAATGTGAAACACATGATAAGTAACACTACTATTTATAATAGGCTTATTTGCTGCTGTTCACGTACATGGTATTTATAAATATTTTACTTCCCTGCAACTTCAGTGTATTGTAATTCTTTGAATTGTTACGAGGAAAAACGTCAACCGGGCCTAGAGGACTCTCACTCACTCACAGTGTCTTATGAAGTGTTCAGATTTATAAGAAGGAAAATTTGGATCACTCGGTCATCACACAGCAGATAGACAGCATTGACAGATGAGAACCTTCTGATACACACTGTGAAAATTACATTTTTTTTTTTAAAAAATTTCTGTTTCATCTATATTTTTGTGTCCCATCAGAGATAAGGTAGTAAGATAAAGCAGTCCCAGAAATCTCTTGCACAGTAGCATCACTGGAGATACAGCTTACAGATTTATGAACACCATTCCAGTTATTTGCAGAGCACAAGGAGCAAAAAACTCTTTCTCTGGATAAAGCACACCTCTCCAGTACCCAACTGGATAGTCAACATCTTTTCTCTCACAAAAGAGATATGTATGCCTACTTGACCTACTTTTTCCCAGGATGCAAGCACAGCCCAAGTACTACTCAGAAAAAAAATGGTCTGATCTTTTGCTGAACTTGTAGACTCACCTTTTCACCATTTCTAAACCAGAGGAGTGTGGGATAGCCACGAACTTGGGTTTCAGAGCAGACTTCATAATGCTGGGTACAGTCGACCTACGTTTTGAAAAAAAAAAAGAAAATATAAACCACTCAGCGCATAAACCAAACATACAACAAGCATTACAGCCTCCCTTACATTTAAAATCTTGGAAAAATACCAAACAAGCAATACATAGCTTGGAAAAGCTCAGTACCAAGTGCTGTCTTGAGAATGTGTAAATTGGGAGGCTGTGTGTGTGTTTGATTATTTTTTTATAGAAGGGAGCGAGGAGGGGGGGACTGGTAGAAGGAAGCAGTAACAAAGAACAATAAAGACACAATTAAATATTCCAATTAAAAAGGACTTGGTATTCTCAGTGAATAAAATCACTGCATGGACAATAAGACCCAAAAAGCTAATGTGAAAGAGCCTTAAATTAAAGATATATTGGCTCATCCATTTTTTGAAGGACTAGTCTTTAAACACTTCAGAAGATGACACATCAATAGCCACCAAGCTAACTTTACTCCACAGGAAGTTCCAACAACATTCAATTCTAACATGTCATAAATCAATCTGTAGAGTTATCAGTTTCTAATCTTTTTTGAAGCAAGGAAAAAAAAGAAGATAGCTTAAGCGTTGGAGCCTTTGCTCTACACAGCATTTGGATTTTGAATTTTATGTTAGAAACACTTTGCTCTCAGCACTGAAAATCCTTTCTGAGGGGAAACATATCTCTGCTGTTAAGACACCATTCCTGCAGTTAACACGAAGGTCATGGTTCAACCTTCTTAGAAACAGTTGTTTTTCCTGTTTACCTACCAGCTGACAATCTCAGCCAAGCCCTGCTTCAAATAGTTTCACAAGGTAAACAGTTACACAAAATTGACAGGCATCGAGACAAATCTTAGCGGCTTTATTAAATAGCGACTATCAGTAATAGTAACTGCAAACACAACAGAAGACCGAATAAAACCGACCTTTTTTTGTTTATTTTTCTCTCAGTATCAGAGAATTGTAACTTTGAGAAGATACTAAAACTAAGCAAGGATTTTATCAGAAAGGAAGGTTCTCAAAAGGTCAAGCAGCAGATGCACCACTTGTCACAGAGAGCAGCAAAGGAGCAACAGCCTCTGATATTTTATTCGGAGATGGAATCTAATTTTATATCCATCAGGTCTCAAAATCATATATATATATATATATGTTTATGTGTGTGTCTTGTCTAAAGTTCAACTATGCTGACCTGCTCTGTACATCTACAGCGTACCTAAATTGGCAGATTGTTGAAAGCATTAAAAATAAAAATATTTTTTTTTAAAAAAAAGTCAAGCTCCTCACCGTTCAACTATGCTGACCTGCTCTGTACATCTATAGCGTACCTAAATTGGCAGATTGGTGAAAGCATTAAAAATAAAAATATTTTTTTTAAAAAAAAGTCAAGCTCCTCACTCCAAGTACCAGCTGAAAGTGCTAGGAGGGCAGAGGCAGGGGAGAGAGCTGAGGTTTTGTCCCCCTACAGGAGTGACAGCACTGCTCCCTGTCACACAGCCTTTCAGATCAGTGGAATGAGCCTGAAAGCTTAAGGATGTGGAAGCTGAGCACGGTCAGTTTTCCACCGTTGGGAAGTAGAGAGGGATCCACATCAGGAGCCACCTGGACCTAGGTATGGGCCAGCAAATAAAGCCGGTAACTGCGGCTGCCAGAGCACCTCCGTACCTCTGCACAGAAGTCACTCCACGTACAAGTAACAAGCTCCCATGGTAAATACACCCCAGAACCTGGTTAAAAACAAGCAAGCAAGAAATAATTCATCATAAGGAGCTCTGCAGGTCTAAAGCTTGCTAAGGAATCCAGTGCTGTGAAGAACAAATTAGAAGCCACTTCCTCACTCAAAGTAAGTACTGAGGTCTATCAATTTCTGACAAAAGAGAAGTATAATAGAAAACAAATCTCAAAATATTGTTCCCAGCATCTGAAGTATCAGACTTATTCCCAGCTCCCTCTGAAATACACGGAGCTGGCTGTTTCTAACAAGTCCTTGCTTAAAAGGGAGTCCTGCCAACCGTGGATGTGTGAGGAAAAAAGTCAACCTTCCCAACACTAAAACAGATATTATGACTATACACGGATTTAAGAGGTGGCAGACAAAACGACTGTTGTTTGCAAACCTTGGCTGGCACATTCATTCACACAAAACCCATTTTCAGACTAAGAGCACTTCACCTACCTTGCCAATCTTGACAGTTTCAGAATGCTCAAAGGCCTGAGCCAGCTGTTCCCAGGTTGGGGCCAAAGCCTTGCAGTGACCACACCAAGGGGCAAAGAATTTGATAAAGTGATTACCTTGTGAGTCAAAGAAAAGAAAAAAAGAAGAAAGAAAAAAAGAAAACGAGATTTAACTCATTTGGATTGAATTTGGCTGTAGTTAAAGACTAGGTACTAATCTTGGACTGAAAATTTATCATGGTATTTCCTGAGTTAAGGATAGGAAACACTGGTAATAAAAGGCCAAGACAGAATACTTCCACAATTAGATTTTTCAGTACCATTTCTGGTCCCACAGTGCTGCCAATTTCCCTGAAAATCCAAGCAGCTTCACAACCTCAAGCCAACAAATGAGTTACTAAAACTGGTATTTTTAACCTAACCATTTGCTACAACGTCCAATTCTACCACTTCAATCCCTTGCCCTATTACAGAGTAGAAAGAATGACCAAGGAACGTGTGTTTATAAACAGTATAAATGAAAGTAAGCATTGCACTTCAACTTAAACACTTCTTAGGAAACATCACTGCATTTAGTCCATGAACTACCTGAATGATTTTGTTTGGCTTTCTGTTCTCTTTTTTCAGCCCTGCTCTTTGTATTTTCATGTCAGCTATTCAGAAACTGCTGCCTTTAGTAGATTTCTGAGGTGTTTTAATGGGGAGGAGAGTCTCTGTACTATCTCCTACTCATGTTTAGTTTAAAAGTATAATCTTAATTGCAGAGTACCGGAATATGTCATTTCCTTCAATTAAGATCACTATTAATTCAAGATGCCGCAGGCTTTTGCACACATTGAGGCAAGGCTCTGTCAATACAAAATAAAAATCAACTTAATTAAAACAAGAGGGGGGGAAAAATAAAATTAAAGTGAAGGAATTGCCAGCAACTGGAGAAAAGCTCTTTTTAGCAGAATTATTCCTAATCCTTCGAAGACAGCTTTGGGGCTGATATTACTAGAATTCATTTCTCAATGAGGGCTTGTTAACAAAAGGAGGTCAGAGAAAAGACGTCACAAAATTGTTCGATGCTTAGCATCTCCCTAATGGCTTAGAGAAGGATTCACAAAGAATTTTCATGTAATTCCGTGTCAAGCCACACAGGATGGGAAATTTTAAGATAGCTGCACAAAATGCTCTTTTTACATTTGGAAATATTTCTCATCAGTTAATGGTTACTTTAAGAATCTTTAGTATCTACCTCACTGGTGGCATCTCATGGACACAATTTAGTCTGGCCTTTGCTTTTAGGAGAACAGACAGAGATGGTAGGATCATCCCTCGTTTGTTCAGCCCAAAGTTTGCTTTGTAAGGTTTTGCTCATTCTGTAAAAATGCATGGGGGGTGAAATTTCCCAGGTTAGGTCTCACTCCTGGCATTAATTTTAAAGCTTGCAGACAAAATATTTTTTTTAAATGGTCAAACACATGAACTGTTTTGCCCACATTAAATTCTGGAGGATGAAAGCTAAAGAATATCAAATGAGGAGTCAGACTGGAGTGGGATGCGGGCAGTGGATTGTAATTATCCAGAAGAGCAGCCTGGGAGTAAGAATACACCAGCTAGAGGAAACGGGATTTTGAAAAATACAAAGCGGCAAGGCTGTGACCGAGCAAGGGGAATAGACAGTTGAGTCGAGCAAGGCCCTCTTGGTTCTCCCATGTGATCAGGGGCCTTAATTTTACTGCCCTCTGAGTGTCATCTTTAAACTTTCTTGTGCCGTGCAACACAACACTCATAGAATCCTAGAATGGCCTAGGCTGGAAGGGACCTTAGAGATCATTTAATCCAACCTCCCTGTCATGGGCAGGGACGCCTCTCAACTAGATCAGGCAACACATGGGGACCGAACAGGGATCGAACCCGCGACCTTGGCGTTATTAGCACCACACTCTAACCGACTGAGCTAACTGGCAAGCAACTGCATTTTCACCCAGTCTGCAGCTTCATCCTCTTTCACTAAGTATTGCTGAAAAATAAAAGTGGGAAGGAGGTGCCTTGAAAACTAACAGTTCTGTTAGAGACTTCCCACTAGTGATGTCTCTGTAAGCAAGTGTCTCTTGCTTAAGAAAAACACAGTTACCTTCTGCTATGTGCATCTTGAAATTGTCTGCTGAGAGCTCATACATTCCCTGCTTGGGTTCAGGGACTTTTGGTGGTTCCACATCAGATTCTGGATCCTATTAACGAGAAAAATTAACTTTTATTTTTCTTGTAAATACACAATATTCGATTTCTGTGTCAAACCATTCTGCGGTACTGTCGTAAACCCTGTACTCTGAAATTTTAAATTTCTAAAGCAATGGCTTTATTTAGCTTGATTCAGGTGTCCAATATTTCCTAACAAATAGTTGAAAGCAAAATGTGAAGAAAAACTACCTCACGGACAAGAGCTATCCAGTCATTGGAACAACAGCCCTTCGCTGTGCCGTAGCCCTGTCCCAGGGCACAGTAATTGCTGTGGCATTCATCACACACCACATATTAATATACTGAGATTACATAACAGTCCCTTCACAGCATCCCGTGTCAGCCACACCTGCCATCGCACCAGCTTCAGTGGTCTTTGGGCTATTTAAAACACAGCCAATGTAAAAGCTGCTTTCCACTCCCCTAATGGAAGGAGGGACTTAATGGCTCCGTGAATGCAGCCAGAGCTGGAAAAGAGCAAAACACTTTATAGGTGTAACTTGCAGCAAACCCACCGGCACTTCAGCAAAAGCAAATGACTCCTTCCTAGATACCAGGGTCAGAGCTGGAAAGAATATTTTTTTAAGAACCAAAAATTACATTTCTTAAATGTAATTTAGCATTTAGTGTTTAATTTTTTAAAAAGTCTTTCTTATTTAAATATAATCACGTTCTAACCACAGTTCAGCAATCACTGAAGCTTTATCTTGATTAGAAACAGAAATTACAAATTTCATTTTAGGCAAGGCCTGGCTACTATATGTACGTGGTACCTCTAGACTCAAGGGTTTTCCCAGTGATGCTATTCACTTAACTTACCTAAACAATTATTTTAGACGTTTTCTTTAGGCTACACCATTGTCAGATGACAACTGAGCTACAGATGGCATCCATGTTTCGAGAGGTAACTAAGCCCAACACAAATGCAATTTGTGACATACTACAGCTGAATCACTTTTCTTACTCTAGAAGCATTACGACCTACAGATGTCAACTGAATTGACACCAAGAATTGTATCTCAAAATGTCCAAATGCTAAACATTAAAGACTGCATTATGTACCATAGTTTTACATACAGGGAACAAAGTGCAGGTCACCGGGGGACAGTTTTAATTACGATTCTGACTGACGTGGAAGCTGCTCCATATTGCTATTGCCACCTGACTCTTATTCACAGGAGCAGATTTCCTCCTGGAAAATAAAACCTAAACTACAGAAATTACAGATAAGCAAGTCTACATAATGGACTATTTCTTTTGCACTTACAGATGGTTCCTCATTTAGTTTCTCCAACATCCAGTTTTCCAGTGCTTGGAAGTCCCTTGGGCCTTGGTATTTCAGAGGTTCTTGTCCTGGTTTTAGCAGCTTTAGGCTAAAGGAGCAAAATGTAGAAAAGAGTGAGGCAAAAATTTTCAGTCAGGAAACATTCTCGGAAAACTAACAGGCTTTGCTAATATCTCCCTCAACTTACAGGGTCATGGCTAGAACTTGGGACACTTTGTCATTCCCATGTAAATTTTTGAAGGAGAAATTTAAAACAGCAAAAAGAGATACCATGTAAAAAAAAAAAAAATCAACATAGCCTAATATGCCCGTGATCAATAAGCAAGAGCAAACAGAACACTGCAGCGGTCAGTTGCAAGGTTAGTCAGTCGTTATGCCTACGAATCCTATTTCGGTTTATCAGAAAGCATCGATTTTGTTTTGTTCACTCCATTACAAAAGGAAAAATATCCAATGCTTATTCTCCCAGGAATTTCTTTCTCACGTTTCGTTCACTGACTGCTCTTAGGATGCAGAACTTCTCATGTGCTGTTAAACTAATTAAAAAAACCACTGAAACAAGTCAACAGGACAAGGAGGTAAGTGAATGCTTGTAGGAATTCAAGACTTCTTGAACATTACATTTAATAATTGCTATCAAAACTCTTCTGTAAACTACCTAGCAATTCTGCTATTAAATATTTAAGTTAAAATTGCAAATATATTTAGTAAGGGGACAATATCGACTTCTGACCTAGTCTTATTTTTTAGAGCAAATCACAGTTTCAGTTACTACTGTCACCCAGCCCTCAGTTCCCCTTACCAAGCTGTCAGTTTGCACTGCTTTTTCATTTTCTTGAAATGTTTTTCTCTCTCTTCTTGTTCCACAGTTGGAAAAAATGAACATATGAAAATGAAAAACCACATAATGCAAATATATTCAAGAGAGACAGCTCCCACTGTCTTTGCTATTTAAGGTATTCTTGAATGTTTCTTGTGATGATCAAAAGTAAATTTTTTTTTTAGAGGGAAAAAAAAAAGCAACTTCAGAATAAGAATGAAACAAGAAAAAAACCCCAAAAGAACATCTAAAATCCATCCTATGGCATTACTTCTGAAGAGTAACAGGATTAAAAAAAAATAAATCAGCTCAAAGAGCCAAATGCTACTTTATTGTCTTCAAATGAGGCTAAATTTTCTCTAGTTCAGTTGTGAGAGTATTTTTCAGCACTAAATAACCCTGAAATGACCGTACTACTGAGTGTAGGGACCTGCTCTGCCTGTTTTAGTCTCCGGGGGATGGAAAAGGGATGCAGCCTTTCCTTTGACAGGTGTTTGGGAAAGAAGTGCAGGGACCAGCACATCCTGGACTTGCCATAACCCCTCTGTGTCCGAGGAAGTTGTGAAATTTCCCTTGCTTGAGGTTTTTTTTTGTAAAAACAGGCTAGTTAAAAACTGACTCAGACAGGAAAAGAATTGATATTGTGAATTCCCCTTCATCTCTACACTTTTATAACTAGCAGATGACTGCTTTATCATTTATACTTTTCAAGTAGATGAACACAACCACTGACTATTCCTAAATATTCAGTGAGCTTGAAGAGGAAGGTGGGAACAATTACACATCCACTCATTGTTTTTCTTATTCAAAATCTCTGCCACTCTACTTTATAAGGAACAGCACCACAAAATAGTCTATTTAAACATCTAAAAATGACCAATGTTTGCTTTGGGAAGATATTAAAATAGTTGTAATATTCATTGTTTCTTGGTATTTCTAGTAGAACTAAGCCACAAACTGCCCTTAAGGCATTTCACCAAGGACTTTTCTATTTATAGCCCTCAACTTCTACTCTGCCGCGCTCCTCTGCCTCCAAGTTCAGGCTGTTGCTGGGATCAGCGGTGACACCGGGCCAAGCAAGCAAAGGGAAGGAAACTGAAAAATCCAGGCTGTGGAAGGGCTATGGATGATTACGTTCTCCACTTACCCCAACTAAGGTGACTAATTAGTAAAGCAGTTGACACAATCCCATCCATTTTTGAAAGAAGCTTTAAAGAAGACACGAGTGAAAAAAATCCCTCTGCTCCTTCTACAGCAGCTAAAAAGGGAGCACACATATCTCAGCCAAGCCCGACCTCTCATAAATACTCCAGCTCATGTTCCACCTGCCAAAGCTGTGGGAGTAAGGCATACACCCTCTGTAACAGGGAAAGCTGGTAAACTTCAAATTTATTTCTCCTAGATAAGCAAAATTCCCTAGCAAAAGGCCGTACCTCACTGCTGTGCTAAGTGAAACTGTTAATTTATTATTTTCTAAGCACCAAGTTCACTCAAAAATTTATGAGATCACCTATACATTAATGAGGAATGGTGCAGTGTACTGACAAACTTGTGACAGGTTATTTTCAAAAAGTGCTATTACCAGAGACCAGCTCTAGCACGCATATCACAGGTGTATAACAGGCTACTGAGTTATTCTCAGAGAAAAGGACAATTCTGGACTTCATTTCAAAACAGACATAATACTTTCTCTAAGAAAAAAAAAAGATTAAGAGTAGGACACCAGGTAGATTAAGAGTAGAACACCAGGTCCAAAAGGCTACAAAGAAACCAACCAAAGCATACAGCTTAGAAGTTAGCTACAACAAATCAGCAGAGGATCACTGAAAACTTAAAAAAAAAAAATAAAGAAAGAGAGAAATAGGAGCATACGTCCTTTTATACTTACGTGGGGTATCCTCGGACGCCAAATTCCGAGCACAGTGGAGTGTCCGTAGTACAATCCACTTTAACAACATAGACCTGTGGGTTTTCCGCGTTGTTGTACTTGTCTCCCAAATCATTCCACGTTGGCTGGAGGCGCTGACAATGTCCACACCTGCGACAGAAGGAACAATGTTTGTTTTATGGTTGCCTTCATTTAGAGGGAAAATGAATCTATGGAAAAGGCATATGTAGAACGTTTGGAGATTTCGATAAATTTGAAAATATTTAAGCCAGAAGTCTTCCACACTCAAGCACTGTTACGCTAAGCAATAGTGAATGCTATTAAGAACGGTAGGATGCTGCAAACACATCTCATGTAAGACTCCTCAACACATGAGAACTCCTTGCTACTACCCTTTTACATTACAAAGCCCAGCGAACACTGCCCAAACTTAGCGAGGCTATTAAGAAAAGCACTCTCAGTCTTCCAGCTTTCTAGAAAAATCCTGCAAGGCTGTCTAACTTCCTCTCCACTCTAACATCTCAAAATACTGCACAATTTAGCACCAGGTAAAAAGACAACGGCTTCCAGCCTCTTTGTAAGAAGACCTGTGCTTGCGTGCATCGCAGGAATCATCGTGAGTCATGAAACACATCAGGATCGATTTCCAAAAAGGGTTGCTCAAAATCCTCCCACACCGTGCTTTGCTCCAGCATTACACCATCCACTGAGTACACCTGCACAGACACAGAACACCGGCCTCACGCAGTTACTATAACGGCAGCTCCCCCGAAGCAGAACACGGCTGTTATTCCCCTCACTTTCTCCTTCGTCTTTCAAGTCATTACAGAGATACCCTATTCCTGTAACCACGAGCAAAAAATTTTCATTTCTCTTTAACAGCTGCTTTTGCCAACACTCCAAGACATCTAAAGATACATAATTGGATTAACAGAAAACATTCTCAACCCAACAGCATGAACAGTTACTGCCCTTGGCACGACCTGCTTTGTAAGAAACAATTAAAACACCATTAGGACTTTGGAGAAAGTTGCTCCCATTCAAAAGAGTTTCAATTCTACAACTGGTTTTGAGCCCACTTGTAGGAAAGCTAAATGGATTCACACCTTTCCAAGTACCCTAATAACATCAAGACCAAAAAAAAAAAGATATTTACTTTAAGATGAAGAACATCTTCCAACCTCAATAAGGTCCTGTTACAGTCAGGCACAGCTGGTCACACGCACCCTCACTATGTGGGGAAATACGTCCTCCCATGCAATCTTCTTCCGAATTGTCACAGTGAAGGGATACAATGTGCTATTTCCAAAATTAATATTCCTTAAATGTTTAACTTCAGACTGAAGTTCTTCCCCAGTCAACTCTCCTGGAGCTTGAATTAAGAGGAGTGTTTTGGATTCCCTGGCTGCAGAGATTTTGAACACTGAACGCTCACCAGTGTCACATAGCAGAGCATGGAAAACCAGGTAAGGTAATCTCAAGTAATTAATCTGCTGTTTTTAAATCACAGAACAGAGATGCCTCATCCATATCTAACACTGTGATCTTTGCTATACACAAAGTTCCCTCTTCCCTTCCTTCATCAGTTTATATGAACTAAAACTGAAAATACAGCAGGGAAAAGGCTCATAGAATCATAGGATCATAGAATCATAGAACAATTCAGGTTGGAAAAGACCCTTGGGATCATCGAGTCCAACCATTGACTCTACACTACAAGTTCACCCCTAAACCATCTCACCCAACACCACATCTAAACCACACTTGAACGCATCCAGGGATGGCGACTCAACCCCCTCCCTAGGCAGTCTGTTCCAGGGTCTGACCGCTCTTTCTGTGAAGAATTTCTTCCTAATGTCCAGCCTAAACTTGCCCTGTTGCAAACTGCAACCACTCCCCCGGTTCTGTCCCTAATTACCTGTGAGAAGAGACCAGCACCAACCTCTCTACAACGTCCTTTCAAGTAATTGTAGAGCACGATGAGGTCCCCCTCAGCCTCCTCTTCGTCAAACTGAACAGACCCAGCTCCCTCAATGGCTCCTCACAAGGTCTGTTCTCCAGGCCCTTCACCAGCTTTGTTGCCCTCCTCTGCACTCGCTCCAACACCTCGAGATCTCTCCTATACTGAGGTGCCCAAAACTAAATACAATACTCAAGGTGCAGCCTCGCCAGTGCTGAGTACATATCTGAATCAGTAATCAACGAGTTAGTTATTCTTTGTTTTCAAAAGGAAATACAAGACAGTCTCCAAAATTTTCTTCTGAAATTCACAAGGTGTAGCTGCAGAATATACAAAACCAAAGAAGCCAAAAATATGCCACGAGTGCTCATGTCTGGAGATATTTTGCTTGTGGCAGTATCTCCAGACCTCCAGGCTGCTCTACCTCACGCTGACAGGGCAGTGCTCCTCCCACAGTACCAGCACTTCTCATCTCCGAAACTGGACGGCAGAACTCCTGGGCCACGACAAGGAGGGATGTGAAGGTACCTAAGGACCACACATGCCAAAACTGCAGTTACTGACAGACTCTCAGCAGTCAGAGTGGAACACAGACGTTTCTAGAGGCCACCAGTAGAACTTGAGCTCTGCCGCTAGCAAAAGTCATTATTAAATTAAAAATGTAATTGTTATTCTATTAAAATGGGACAAGCAGGTAAAACGGGACAAGCAGCACAGGACCAGTCTCGCTCTAGACAAAATAACTTATAACGTAAAATCCAGTCAAAGGACTTCAATTCAACAGTAGCAAACTCTAGTGATCAAGTCTGCTTCAACTCAGAGGATTCCCAGAGGTTTACTAAGAGGCTACACATGTTGAAAAGATTTCTAATGGGCAAAGCAACACAATGAAACTACTCTTTTGAGATTCCTTCCAACTAAGGAACCAGAGCAACCTCTTTCCTCTGTAGACACACAACCAGCATGCTCAACATGTTAGGAATATGTAGTGCCAACGAGAAAGTAACCTGCTCATTGTTCTGTCCTTTGTCAAGCGTCACTACAGAGGGGGACAGCCTGATGATCAAAAACCTTAGACATCTGATGGCAAATGACTTGGAACTCTCTCTTTTTGGAGTAGCCTAAAATATCTGGAACAAATATAGGACCTCACGTGTACCGCTGCTGTGTCAGAGTAAGGCCCTCAGCAACATCTGTTTCAAAAACCCAGAAGAGATATGTCAGCTCTTTCTAGCCCAACTCTTACTTACCAGCATGGATGATACAACATCAGCAGCATCCATAGCCATCCGAAAGACTAGCTGAATGTTGGGCTGTTTGCTAGGATTCTCTCTTCTAACCACAGGGAGCAGTGCCAAAACACATGCCTCTGTGAGAAGCATTAGGAGATTAGCACCTTAACATCACCTAGGAAGAGGGTAAGAGGCTCTAATATAGGCTACAGTGCTGTCAGGTTGCCACCTGATCCCACTGACGATAAAACTGCTGGTGTGTATAAGCACCTCTCTCCAGCATTTGGATGTTCCCTTTGTCCTTGGACCCAGGACCTGGCCTTTTCGCTGCCTGTCACGAGTCCAGACCAAGGACCCTGAAGCCAAGACCCAGAGATCTGGAGGAGGCCCACTAAGGGCGAGGAGAACGTCCAGAGAAGACGCAACAAATCTGGGAAACGACGCAGCTCCCTGGCGTTTGAGCTGGGAGGAGATCCTCAGCCCTCCCAAGAGCATGGTGTGGTCCAGGTTTGTGAGGCTAGAGCTCTCTCTGATGGAGACTGAGGATGTGTGGTACATGCTGGACCCTGCAACAGCCCATCTGGTGCAGGGTCTCTGAGAGAAGAGTGCGCCAGGATATAAGCTCATTTGGTTTTAGGGATGCCTGTGAAACAGCTGGTCGAAGCTTGGACAGATACAGATATTATCACCTGAAAACAGAGCAGTGCAGAATCCCTTGTGCTCTGCAGGGGCATTTCTTAGACCTTATCACAGCGCTCTCAGGCAAAGGCACTTCACCAGCAAATCAGGCGTCCTCCACCTCTGGGATCTTCAGAGAACAAAGGCCGACATCTGCTCTTTCAAGCTTTTTGCTTGACATTTTTGTAGGGCATAAACAAGTTGATGTTTTAATAACAAAAACAAAGAAAAAAAAGAAAAAAAAAAAGTCGTCCTCAGTTTTGAAAGGAAATCCTTCTCTGCTGATGAGTTCAAAGAGTGTCGTGACTCACCTCTGCCTAACCGGCCGTGGATCCAAACATAACTTTCGCACGTTGTTCCCTTAATTTTATTTTACCCACATTTAAGAAAAGTTGGGGGAAAACAAACAAATAAACGACCCCAACAACTAAACTCCTGATAACCTCTGCAAGGTATCCACTCGGTCGGAG